TGTGGCCAGATTATGAAGGTGTCATCTACGTATCTGAGCCAGAGTTTGGGTTTGTGGTCGTATTTTTCTAGAGCTTGTGTTTCAAAGTGTTCCATGTAGAGGTTTGCGATGACAGGTGAGAGGGGTGATCCCATGGGTGCTCCTTCTATTTGTTTGTATTTTTGTCCATTGTAGGTGAAGTATGTATTGGATAGGCAGTGGTTGGTTAGATCTAGGATGTGCTTGGGGGGGTTGTATTTGTTTTGGAAATACAATATATATATATATATATCCCCAAATATAAAAATTGCTTTTATGAAATTATTCTGAACTTTTCTTATCAACTTGGTCTGATGTATTTGTGACTGTGAATGTAAATTTTTTTAGTCAGAAATATACCGAACATATATTTAACCATTCCTTTAAAAATAAGCAGTATGTAACTTTGCTTAGTGTAAATCACTTGTGGGCCTGAAATATGGCTGAATTCGTCTTCCCTGGGGTTTGCTATATCTTACTCTTTCAAGGAGGAGAAAACTATTGGAGATTATGGACTACATCAAACTTTGTTTTTCTGAATTAAAATTCCACTACACATGCATATCAGCACACAGTAGAAGAAATTAATTGCATAATGTTTGTAAACATTAACATTCTAAAGAAATAAAGCTGTGAAGGATGCTTCTGAAGTATTCAGGGTCAGGTTCTCAGGGTTCTTAGTGTCACAGACCTGGGGCTCAAAAAAATTTTGACCATTAGATGGAAAAGTAAATTGTTCCAAGATTGAAGAAATAGTTCAATGCACTGAAGAAATAGTTCAATGCATTGAAAGGTTAGATAAAAATAATGGAAGAATTCTGGTATATATTTTTGGATTTTGTGTTTCGGGCTGGAAAAGATCAGGCACCAATCTGTAAGAGAAAAAAAGAGGAAGGCACAGGATCAGCCCTCCCACCTGCCCCTGTGCTTTTCTCTTCTTTATCCTCTCAGCTGATTGGTGCTGCAGGTCTCAGCTGGTGTGAGGAAAGCTGCACGCCCGAGTTAGGCAAAACGCGCCCACCAAGCCACACCCACTGAACTGGTCATAAAACAAACTGAATCCCACCACTGCACCAATCAATTATAATAGCCTGGGTACCATAGAGGCGCCAGTGATATCATGTGCATCATGATGTCATCAAGCAAAGTATATATTACATGCTTTGGACATGGACATTCATATTTCAGTTGAGCCATGCATTATTTTTCCAACTCTTAAATTATGAATTAGTTCCTTGCAGGTATGTTTGTAGTAGTATCACAGGTTCATAAAATATTATATTTATTAATAAAGGTTTTTCCTTAGTGGCATTGAATTGATATAAAGCTGGGCCAAACCAGGTTTGTGGTGGTCTCTCATCATAGTTCCCACACAGGTTTACTAAAATTCTTTGCTAACCATTTGGGAGGGGATGTACACTTCTTTATGCTAGTTATTTTAGGGATGGTTTTAAATGATTGAATTATGTTTGAAAGGAATTGCTATTGAAGGATTTTGTATATAATTGCAATATGTTTTATATTATGCTTATACTTTAAAAGTATTATCCATTTTGAGCATTGTTAAAATATTAAATATGTTTTTTAAGCCAGGAAATAAATAATGGTTCTATACATATTTATAAAATGTGACAGAGTAGATATGCATTTAAAAGTCATCTGTATACAAGTTTTCTTTAATTCTGTTAATGAATAAATCTAAAGTAAGAATATTAAAATAAATGTGAACTTTGACATGAAGTCAAAGTTATGTATGCACTGTTAATTAAAATGTTCTTGATTTATCTATGTTACATCACTCATATCCGGTTGCAATTCCAGTCATGTACTCAGAAAATTCTGTGCACAACCCACTGAAGCAGTCCAACTTGTGTGTCTTTCAGGTATGTTGAAATTCAATTTCCATAAACCCCTTCCAACATGGCAGAAGTTTATGGCAGGAAAGACAAAAGCCCATCTTTGGATGACATCAGGTTGGAATACCATAGTTTCCCCCTGTCCAGTAGCCATAGAGACATTGTAGCTTCATTTTTTTTCAGAAGGAGCTCTAGAATCGATTTCCTTCCAAAACATTTTTTATAACACGTTTAGTTATAGGAAGAGAAGATGTTTGGGGGGGGGGGGGGGAGTACTTGCATTAGTTTTAAAGGAAGTTCATCTTCCACATGTAAAATACAAGTTTGCTCATGACAAATGCAACTCTGTTCTTTTAGTCTGAGGATGGGGAAACCCCAAGATTTTTAATTAGAATTAGATAAGAGAGTGAGTGTGTGTATGTGTGTGTGTGTGTGTGTGTGAGAGAGAGAGAGAGAGAGAGAGAGAGAGATTTTTTTAAAAAGTATGAATGAATCCTTATCTGATTAACAGGTGCAACCTGTCTTCGGGACAAGAGTGTGGCTTCTTGAGGGGTAAGCAGCCGGCGGACGGGCGGGCAATGGAGAAGTAGGTTTCTCGCGGCGGGTGGGAGTCGCTTTAGAGCAAGAGCTCAGAAAGTCTGCACCGGCTACAGCCCGGTCGGCTGCTGCTCTGCGTGTGCGAGAGAGAGAGAGAAAGAGAGAGACAAATAGATCCAAGCGGCAGCAGCAATCGAGGAAGGGGGAGGAGGAGGAGGCGGCTGTGGCGGCGGAGGTGGAGACTGCCGAGTGGTGGCAGCGGCGGCGGCGGCGGCAGCGTCGACGCTGTAGCATCCCTTCCTCTTTCTCCGCTGTAGCCACCGTTGAGCCCAGCCGCAGAGGCCCTGTAAGCATCCTTCCTCTCCCGCCAGGTAAGTAACGGGACTCTTCGCTATTTGTATCCCCGGTAACCTCGCGGCTTCTTCTTGCGGTGGGCTTGGAGAGCTACCATCGAGCACGAGGCGGGGACCCCGATATTGCCGCTCGGGCGACGGCGGCGAGCGAGCGGGGGCTGCTCTTCGGGTGAATGAAAGAGGGGGAGACCTGCCGGCCACCGGGCTGGAAGCGGGGGAAGGGGCAGATGCGTGAAGGGAAGCGGGGAGAAACACTACAGCGAGAGGCAAAGCCGCAGGTGTAGCTTTTGAGGAAGCGGGCGCTGGAACCGAGACTCTTCCCTCGGCTCCTCCGCCGCCCACCACCTTTCATTCATCCGCTTCTGGCCTCCTCCGTAACCCTTCCGATCGCTAAGCTAGGGCGGCCTTGGGTGGGTTGACGGGTGCGAGGGAGGTGGAGGCGGCTGCCTGCAAGAGCTGGCGGTGACAGCTTGGCTGCTGCAGGGCGGCTCAGCCCGAGCGGCAGAGGCTGCCCCGATTCAAGCCTTTCTGCAACAGGCTCTTAAGAGACCCCGGCTGAGGGGGGAGCGAGAGGAAGGGAGGGGGCACCAGCAGGTGCGGCTGTCATTCTGCCGGGAGAGCGGGCCCTGTTAGCCCCCTCGGGAAGAAGGATTTTACGAGCGATATCCCAGAATGCTTAGAGATACCTATGCTTACGCATCGAGAGGCCTCCTTGTTTATAAGAGTGCATCAAGCAACTGCCATGTGATCAGCCTTTATTATTGATGTCTTTCGTGGAAAAAATATATATATGTGATCCGACGCTGCGTTTTCCACGCCATGAAATGCTAATTGGATTTTTTTGGTGTTTAACACAAACACCCGTCAGACTGAATTAAGGGATGGCTTTGGGGGTTTAAATTAAACCACCCGCAATTAGAAAGGAGCTTGCTACTTTAGTCTTTCTTTCAAAATAAATGGTGTGATGCATAGGAACAAACATCTGGGAGGGGTGGCTAATAGAAAATGCTCAAAGGAAATGGAATCGCAGCAGGTGTGTTTTTCAACTTGAAAAATAGAAAAAGATGCTTGGGTGGTTAAATATGAAAAATAATGTAGTTATCTAAGTCAGGCTTATTCGAACATTTTTTCTACCATCTTGTTCTTAATGGAGTCTTTAAAGAAAAGGTTAGACCAATGGGCAATATGGACTAGAATTTCAGAATTGGAATCTGAAATTGGCTACATCAAATTATTATTTTTATGTGTCATTTAAATTCTACCCTTGGGGATACCTTAAATAATACTATTGTAGCATCAAATGTATGAGGCAAGCTTTTGTGCCTATAAAACATGTGGGTTGGAAATCAGTGCCAAACAACAGCTAGATAAGGTTTGCAATGAATTGTACTGTCAATCACAGCTGAGATCTCTGAAATAAAAAGGGAACTGGACATACAGAAAGGAATAGTCTAGTGTAGTTTCATTAGGCTATTTTAAAGGTAGGCCCTGTGAAAGTTAAACAACCCAGATTTTGAAGTTTGCAGGTAAAAAACGAGATTGCTGTTAGTAAAATAGAAGGCCCCTGAGCCATCTGTTGCTGTCACTATGGGGGCCTAGGGACTTCCCATCACAAAAATCTCAAGTAATGAGATTGACTTAATTACAGGAAGTGGAAAGAGGCATGCAGAGATCTGATGTTATTCCTAGGCTATTTCGTTAGGAGAAACATTGGACCTTTGTGGATAAAAAAATGTTTTTGGCTGGTATAAGAAATCAGCTGATTTTAATCTGCATTGAAATAAAGCTTTAGCTAACACCAGCTCTCAAAATAAAATAAATTCTCCAACTCAGCGGCCAAGAAAATAGTTTTATCCATACAGCCAATCATATTCTTCCAGATTAGCACAAATAAACATAATTTTCAGAGTGTGCATTTGGGTATGTACTGATTAAACACCTTTTTCTTCAAACCCATCTTGCTTTCCTGGAATCTTTTATTTGCCCATGAATGCTTTTCTTTGCCATTTGAGGCTCAGACCTATTCATATTTACATGGTGTGGTACTTATTGAATTAGGGAAGATTTTCTTCTAAATAACTTTCTTCTCTTTTTGATTTTATTATGTTTTTGCCCTATTTTGGTACCAAGATGATATACAAGACTACTTACAATAATAAAAAACAATCAGTAAGGCTCCAAAAACATTTTATACTATAATGAATAAAAAGCAAATGTGAAATTAAATTTCACTACAAGAGCCAAGAACTCAGCTTCATCTGTAAACTGTACACATTTATCAATGGTTCTTCGTTGTGAGAAAATATTCATAAAAAGACAGGGTTCATATTAGGGCAAGAATTAAAAGTCACTTCTATAAGTTGAAAACCTTCCAGTGTGACTTTCAGTGAGAATCAGAATCAGTATGAGAAATTATATATACTATAGTCTGAAAAATACTATGTTACCATATATGTTTTTTTCCATACACTCACCCCACACAGAACATTTTGGGGTACAGTCACTTTTTCTCAAGTTGTTTTCATAGGAGGTAAATTCATATGATGGAAACTTGCCACATGAAGATTCTAACTGTATAGAAATCAAAGCTATCTTGATAGGACACAGAAAGAAGCCAATGGTAATTTAAGATAAATTTTCATTGAATCCACTGTAAGGACTTTCATTGTGTCAGATTGGACTATTGTTATATGTACTTCATTACTATGTTTGCAGGATATAAAAGGAACAGGGCCCTGCCAATGTACAGCTAACATTCGATGGAAGAGGAGCATCAGAGAAAGATGAATCATTGATTTGGTTTGAAAATTATATTAACTTGATTTAACCTTAGTTTTGTTCCCTGCCTTCTTTGGAATGGGCTTGAGGAAGAGAGCTTGCTTTTCTGAATCAAACAGATCAGGATTATTTATCACAATTCAGTTTTGTTTTGCTTCCCTAAACCTTGATCAACAGTTTGCATTCAACTATATTGTGAATCCTTTCATAAGTTTTAAATTTTGTTTTGCCTACACTGAAAAAGTAAGCAAAAGAAAAGTACAAATAAATGCTGTATTAAAGACTTGATAGTGACAACAGAGCTATTTTTAAAAGGAGAGAGGAAGAGAAAGAAGGCCCAAGTATTATAATATAATATAATTAAATGTTCTTTTTGCCTCTTTGAAAAAAGAGGACTAATGGAAAAAAACTGACAGTAAATAAGCCATAATGACTACTTCACCCATAATAGTTATAGAAAGTGGATTTACAAACATCCAGAAAGTCAAAGGGAAAGCCAGCAGGGAAATTAGGAAATCACTGGGGACAATGTGCTGCTGGGGGAGACTTATCCCCAGTGATTTCCAAATTTCCCTGCTGGCCTTCCCTTTGACTTTTGTGCATCCTGCACACCTTCCCTGACCCACACAATGCCTTTCACGCTTACCTTTGAACCCTCCTCTGTCTGGTAGCAACACCAACCTGCCTGCAGTCCTAGGACTTACAATTTCCTGCCAGCTTCTCCACTGATTTCCGGCAAGAAATTGCCTCATATCTCAAATATTTCTTCTTAAAATATAGAAAAATGTTTTCTCCCTGGAATATGATTACAAAAAAAACATTTTTCTTGAAAATAATTAAGGAAATGGGAATAGAGTTTTTGGACTCTGTCTAAGAGGTATTGGAACCCAAGAAGTGGCATTGCGTGATTTAAATGATAAAGAAATGATAAATGCATTTATTTAGTAGAAGCACACAACTCAAATTAAACATACTCGGTTCTACTTCAAAGATGGGTGACAAAGCCACAATAACCATCTGTTCAGTAATAGTTAATTCAATAAGAATGAAAGCTACATTAATGAAAAACTAAATTTTAAATGGATTTGGTATGCTCAATTTAGAACAATAAAGTAAGAAAAAAAGTCTACAAATATAGTAAGTTCTAATCTGAAACAAATGTGCACAAAATTACACTCAAAGGAAGGAAATTGCATGTAAACTCTCCTGAGTTTGTTTGGGGAAGGAATGTGATTCTTTCAAGTAGATCAAGGAACAGCAACTTCTCTAGACCTCTAGGCCATAACAAACAATAAAGCACAGGCGTGCTCAGTTAAAATAAAAAAGGGAAGTTGGTGGGGCAGTTTTGAATGTACCAAATCTTTTTTGTTAGGTTCACACAGGTATGAAAAGGGATGGGATTTTGATGATGATGCTGCAATTGTCATCTTATCTCTGTCCTCCATTGGCTGTCCCCAGAAACTGATGAATTGGCATTCTTCCATGAGCTCATGCAAGACTGGGAAGTCTTAGCTACAGAAGGGAGAGCACAAGAGGTCAGGTTACTGTCTTAGAATAGATGGATAGGTGGGCTAGCTGATTACTTCTTCCATGTATATATTAACTACTTGGAATATTTAAGCAACTGAGAAATTAACTGTAAAAACTGAATTTGATGAAGTCTCTTTCTCTTAAGTATATGGAACTTTAACAAAATTCCAAGTAACATCCATGTTTGTTTTGTTAGACTTTCTTTTAATACATCAGACATCATAAGGGAAAGAACAAATTCCAAAGACAAAGTCTGTTTGTAGGGACTGAGAAAGTTAGAATAGTTTCAAAAATATTTAACCATCATACTTCTTGAAAAAGAAATTTGCTAGGTTAGATTCAAGACTAGTTCCTGTTTTAAACATGTGGGTGACACTTCTATGCTGCTTATCTGGGAATAAACCCTATCTGACACATTGTGATTTATTTTAATTGAACATATTTAAGATAACCTTCATGTTCAATTTAAATTATTGTAGTGCCTTTCTCTGTTTTTCTAATGGATTGCATCTTTTATTTCTATATTATTATTCAAATCAGTAGAAAATTTTAAGATCTCTTCTGATGTCATAATTGTGGATTGTTTAGTTAATACATAGTAGTTCCCTTCTCCTTATGTTTTCTCATATTTTGTTTTCCCATTCCTTGCCCTAGGATAAGAAGGGTAATAGCAACAAAAGTTAGAATGGAAACCATTTGTATCGAAATAA